CAACTTAGTTTATCTTAGCTCGCATAGCTGAGCTAGTTTTCCATACATGTGCGTCCACCACAAACTATGCCAGCTAACCTAGGTAAAAAAAAATCTTCAATCGTCAAATTAACTTAGTTTTGTAGGCCGATACGAAACTAAGCTAAGCGCCTCTCACCCCCTTACCTTAGCCCTCTGGCGCCTTTCGCTTAGTGTTGTTTGTTTTGTTTAGTGCGCTTAGTTTGCTTATCCAGTAATAATTTTCTTTATAAAACGAGCAATAATTAATCTAGTTTTCACATAGTTTAGTTCGTGGTGGACGCTCGGCTTAAATCTTGAGTTGCGATAGCACAGGTGACGCGTCTAACGTGTGCATCAACGAGGCCCGTCCGGCGCTCGGTTTCCGTTCGTGATTCACTGGTTAACGCTCCTTCGCGAAGAACTAGATGATACAAATATTATCCATTCATAACTATTGTTTTGTCACTGTCACTAATGTTTTTATCTCTCTTGAAATCTCAGTCGTCTTAAATCGTTAACGTTTTACCTATTACACATATTGTTTGTAATAATTGAAGCAATCATCATCATTACAGCCCTTCACAAGTCCACTGCTGAACATAGGCCTCCCCCAAAGAATGCCACAAAGCACGGTCCTGAGCCACCTGCATCCATCGACTTCCTGCATGTCTTACCAGGTCGTCACTCCATCTCGTGGGGGGACGCCCTACACTTCGCCTACCGGTACGAGGCTGCCACTCGAGAACCTTTCTTCCCCATCGGTTGTCGGTTCTTCGAGCTATATGGCCGGCCCACTGCCACTTCAGCTTACTAATCCGTTGGGCTATGTCGGTCACTCTAGTTCTACTGCGGATATCCTCATTCCTAAGTTTATCACGCAGAGAAACTCCGAGCATAGCCCTCTCCATAGCTCGCTGAGCGACCTTGAGCTTCCTCATACGGCCAGCAGTGAAGGACCACGTCTCAGTTCCGTAAGTCATCACTGGCAACACGCACTGGTTGAAGCAAGATGGACTTTTATTTAACTTCGTATATAACATTTTCATAAGCCTTTGTTTTTGTTTTGTTTATAACTCCATATGGCCTATACGGAATTATAAACATTAAACTGTCAGTTTCGATTTTAAAATCGGTTTTAGATGATTTTGGCCTGAACTATATCCTACAATAACAAATGAAACTAAGCAGAATAAATTATTATAGTGTAATTATTCACACAACCCTGGATCTTCACTTTACCGTAATATTCTCTCCGTAATAATATATGACCAAGATCTCCCGCGGGTTAAGAAGTTTAAGAATATGTAAATATGTGCATAAGCAATGAATTCCACGACACTAGCATTGCACGTTGACGACATAATTTTTTTATAAAATTTTATGTCATTTTGAATGTTTAAACAGTGGTAGAGCCACACTTCAGCTTCTGCTGTAGCATGGATGGGCCGGCTCGAACCGGGGCAGTACTACGACCTCAGAGAATACCAACGTAAAGTAGAAGCTTTGCTTCTGCGTGTCGATTGGTTAGTGCACGTGGCCGGAGGCCAGAGTTGCTGAGCAAAAAAAATCTCGGATTGGGTACGACTAAATCTAGTCCAGTTTAATCCTCAGAAGACACAAGTTTGCGCGTTTACCGCTAAAAAGAACCTCTTTGTCATATCTCCTCAGTTTCAAGGCACTCCCCTTGTTTCCTCAGCCAGTATCGGAATCCTCGGCGTCGACATATCGAGAGACGTGCGATTTCGTGGTCACTTGGAAGAGAAGGCCAAATTGGCCTCTAAAAACTTGGCGTGCTCAGCAGTATTTCATGCCGGCACACCGCCTGCAACTTTACAAGGCGCAGGTTCAGCCTCACGTGGAGTACTTCCCATCTCTGGGCTGGGGCTCCCCAGTGACAGCTCCTTCCGCTTGACCGCATCCAGCGCAGAGCGGCTCGAATCTTTGACGACCGAGTCCATTACAATCGGCTCGATTCACTGGCACTGCGAAGAGATGTTGTATCTCTTTGCGTATTTTATCGCATTACGGATGATGTGTGTGTGTGTGTGTGTGTGTTTTTTTGCCTAATTGTGACCATTTTGCTAATCTATCCGTTGCAATGACCAAAAGTGTGAGATATTATTGTTATAATTGAATTTCCGATGCGCGTTGCTCAGCGACTGTCTTATAGTGAAATATATTTTCATTTTATAACTATTTTTTAACATATGCGATTGCGATTATTACATTTTTTATATTGAGCATTTAAAATTTAATATGTAATCTGTTGTTTCAATGCAGAGCTAAAGTTATGAGAGCGTCATGCATTATGTCACTACTTTATATGCGCATCTCTTTATGGTAACATTTCTGATGGTATGAAAAACTTAGAAGGGAGAAATTTAAAAAGACTTTACTCCAAGTCGAATTGTAACTTAAAACTTCAATTTTCGAAAAAAAAATAGTTAGATAAGGCTATCTTTGTTATTTTTATTTATAATGCTGAGGAATAAGGAACACAATAGTTCCGAAAATATTAATTACTATCTATATTGATTTTTTTTTTTACTAGCCGTACCGGTTACCTGGTGCCCGTGCACCAGGTGATTGAGAGTGAGACAGGATTTACAATAGACATGCGTTATTGTTTTATGTAATAATAACCGATAATTTTAATTATTGATGATTTACAATCCATTTATTTACCTGCAACGCGATATACCAAACCGTTTCAGTCTTGGCCTATTGCGAATTCTTCGATTTATGATTACTTGTAACCGTTGCGCTCTGACAATGCATCAAAATTTTTTTTTATGTTAATCTGAAGCGATAAATTAACTTATAGTCTAGCTGATGGTAAGGGGCTACAGCAGTCCATGGACACCTGCAGCTAATGTCAAGCAAAGAAAGCTATAGATGCGTTATCACCTCTGTGAACTAAGATGAAATGCCTCAAAACATGTGATTATACTGGATCTCTATACCCTAATATGTGTAATAAATACTAATTATTGAAGTGATACTTCTTTTGGCGCGTTTGAGAAAAATTCTGAGACTGAATTTTAGACGATGCGCGCGCACACCGACGCCTAAAAACAACACCATGAAGTTTTTACGGTGCGCGCGCACACCGAAACCTAAAAGCGACAACTTCAGTTGGTAATTGTCTGTTAACTGTCAACTATTCGTGAGAACTGATATTTATATTCAAGGCAAAGAGATTTAAATATATAGGTATTACTATTACTACTTATAAATGTCTTTGATTCAAGGTAGTTATCAAAGAGAATATAATCGCTACGTTTAGTAATTATTTAAAATATATATGAATCTATAAAACGTGTTTTATTTTTGTTATTTTTATTTTGTTACGCTAATGAAGTGTAAGTTCTTACGTGCGTACATAAGTACACACACACGTTTTTTTATCATACATATGGTAAGAGGGTGCTATCCGCCCAGACGGGCTTTAGGGTGAAGATGTGTCCTACTACCCAGTCACTTGCTTCTATAGAAGCGAAGTAACGGCACATGCATTTCAATGTATTGGCTAGAGTAAAATATTATCTACTATTTGAATTGTAACTGTGCGCATGACGGATTTAGTTTATGGCCTAGTACACAGCTGTGTGTGTATATATATAAAAGGCGTTGCGAATTGCTTAGCGTATATTAACACCAACAGTAATTTCTACTATTATTACTTACGATAAAAACAAGCGATTAAACGTATAAATTACAGCCTAACATCTCACTGCCCAGCAGTGAGAGCAGTCTCATTTCTAATAGGGTTATGGAGCTATTAGTCCTTAAAATTAGTAGTTAAAGAAATATTTATTCCTCTTATAAACAAATACTCAAACGACACTCAATTGTATGTAAAGTATTGTGGTGGACATAAAGTGATAGAGGCAGCACGAGATTTAACGGCATGTTAAAATTGAGCTGTATTCAGTTATGGGCATCCGACCGCTAGTTTCTTCACGATGTTTTCGTTCACATCCGAACAGCAGTAAATCAGCACTTAAAATTGCAATTAACAATGTCATTGGTGCCGGCGGGAATCGAACCCTGGTTGATCGCTTACTGTGAAAATAACAGAGAGCGCTCAGTTCCTGAGTTACGGCGCAATAAATCTAAAAAAATCCTAACATAGTTTCCCAGACGTCGTATTTAAATATGTACAATGTGCGCACCCTCCCTTCGCTATTCCATTATATGCATGGATAGATAATGAGATTACCGGAGAGCCCGCTACCCCTTAATATTCAGAGCCGCAGCCGGAACGACATTGGTTGAATCCCCCTGGGATGCAATAACACCCCATCTCATTGACGGCTTGGAAATGCAGTAGCTTAGCATTTGGCTGCCGGACCGCGGGTTTGAATTCCGCATTGAACAAGTACGTGTTAAGCCTTTGTTTGTTCCGAGTCTGGATGGTTTTTGTGGTGTAATTTATGTATCCAAAACTCCTACTCTGTGGAGAAAATATTCCTAGTTTGGAAGGTGACTTATAAATTTAAAAAAAAATTATGCTACGTAATTTGAATTAAGAACGAAGTCCAATAATTAAAACTGTTGGGTGCAATGTGTTTAATTGTAGAAACAGCGTTACAATAACATGACATCAGACATCAGTTGCGTTTGCTTGCACCGCTGTCGATTATGCGAATAATTAGAGTTATCTATGTTTTTCTAAAAGAAATTTAATACTACATTTATCATTTTTGTATACGGATCATTTTCATATCCCATTTTATAGATTACAAGCTACATACACTTCGATATACATAACTTTTTATATAACAAAATACTAGCATTCTATTACTGTACTCACACACATACAGTGGTCGAATGGCAGCTTCGAACCGACGACCTTTTTTTACCTACGAGTACGTAACTGCGAAATTAAAAATGGTCACTGTCATTTAATTTTTAAACATTCCAAAGAACAGCTTTTTGGTGATTGTATATTTGGTAAATTGGCCACTAAAGTTCAAATCTACGCTTATCCTTAACAGCCACAAGCTCAAGCCATGACACGGAACCCCGAGTTGGTAGTAATGGCGAAGAAGACCTTTGGGGCCTTTGGGGTAGATTGGTCAGCAACTGGGAGACGGAGTGGAGGCGCCGTAATCAATTTGTACGAGACCTCGTGCGTCAGGGCGTGCCGCACCACTTCAGGGGCATCGTTTGGCAGTTACTTGCCGGCGTCGATTCCTCGCCGGAAAAGAAACTTTATGCCTCATATATTAAGGTTAGTTTTATTAACTATGCTTTATGGAACCACTACATAGTGGATGCCTTGCCCTTGCTTTGGCATTAAAAGTTCTTGAGTAGAGCATACTTGTGAATTTGATTGTATCACGCTGCGGACAGATTTGTGAGTCTAAAGCCAATACAATCGCAATGTTGCCCACTGGGCTTAACCCGTTAAAATCTTGGTAATTTTATCAAAACCAAACAAAGGTAACATTATAGCTACATTTAACATAGTAGCATTTTACATATGTAATATATTTCATTCTTTAGCTGAAGAAATGTTTTCTTAATTATTTTATGCCAGTGTCAGTAGTCAAGCTACTACCCCACCTGATGGTAAGTGGTAATGCAGCCAATAGCTTAATAAAAGGCTATTCACACTTGCTTTGAATACACCAGCATACTAATCGAATGGAAAGACAAATGCTGACAAATTATTCCACTCCTTTGCTGTACGCATGACGAGCGATGAAGAAAATGTCACAATGAATAAAAAGGGGATCATATTAAATCTTCTTCTACTTTACCAGCCCGTAAAAGTCCACTCTCAAAGGCCTCATCCGTTGTAGGGAATATATACAATAATGACGCTTGGTAAGTGGATTGACTGACGATCGCAATCCCAGACTTTTCGCACCTTGGATTTTGCTCCTGAACACCGGTCTGGGGGTATTAACTTCTGGTGTATACCTGATTACATTTCGCCATCTATCGGAAGGCATGTGATCTTTCGCGCATTTTCCATAGTCGCCTACGACACCCACAGGACAAAAGGAATATTTTTTTATAAAGCTGAAGTTATAAACGAATTATAGTCTACTGTGTGAATACTGCGGATCATGGATACCTGCACTCAATTTCATTCATAGAGGGCTGGCTACAGATGCATTGTCACTTCTGAGGACTAAGATGGAATGCCTCATAGTTTGTAATTATACTGACTCTCTACACCCTTAACACCACAAAACAGCAGTACAAGTACTGCTAATTGACGGTAGTAATAGTTATTGCTATGCACGAAGTCGAGCGGGTTATACGTATATGTATACGTGTCAAAGTGTGTGCGTGAGAAAAAAACCGCACGCTCGCAACTGTTCGCACCATCAGACACGCACACTATCGCAATGTGCATGTTTTATTGCAACGATCAACCACAAGTAAAGCCATCCGACTTCATGAATTACAAGAACCGTACCTACCCAGATGGACTCTTAGACAGAAATAGAGACATATCAACCACTAGTTTTGTTATCTGGATTTTAGATCTAGATTGATAGCCATGACGCAGCTATATTGTGGTTGCAGTACGACTGGGTCGGCTCGGCCGGGGAAAGGACCACGCTCTAGCAGAAATATCAGCGTAAAATACCATCTCAAAATGTTGCTGTATTCGGTATGGTGAGTGTAAAGAACCGGAGAGCCTTTTGACTGGAAACGAAGGCATTTCATCATAGTCCTCAGGATGACAATGCATCTGCATTTGGAATCATAATCGAGGATGGATGTAGATGTTTATAGGCCATTACATCCACTTACCATCAGGTGGACTGTGTGCTTGTTTGTCTCCCTTATTCTATAAAAATTGATCAATACTTATTGAAATTGTCTTCCAACAGGCAAAATCGGCATGTGAGAAGGTGATACGTCGCGATATAGCACGCACGTACCCTGAGCACGACTTCTTCAAGGAGAAGGACGGGCTCGGTCAGGAGTCACTGTTTAACGTCATGAAGGCATACTCGTTGCACGACAGGGAGGTCGGCTACTGCCAGGGCTCCGGGTTTATCGTCGGCTTGCTTTTGATGCAGGTATGTGGTATACTTTTTTTAATAATAGCTAATAAATAAAGATAATATTGCATTTTGTCATTCGTTATTGCATTCTACGTAATAGAGCCGCGCTGCAGTTATATTATGGTTGTAGCACGAATGGGTTGACTTGAGAAGGACCACGCTCTCACAAAATACCAGCGTAAAATAGCACCTAAATACTATACTAATACTATACAGCTGTGTTTCGTATGGTGAGTACTTTTTACTGGAAATGTGGCATTTCATCTTTGTCCTCAGGGGTTGGCAACGCATATGCATTTTGATTCTTAATCGAAGATAGATGTAGATGTCTATGGGCCACAGTAACCACTTACCATTTGGTGGACTGTGTGCTCGTTTGTTGCCCTTATTCTATTAAAAAAAATCATTCGTTCATTCGCCTTGTAGTGACGGCATAAGTGAATCCCCTACTCATTATCATCCCGTAGGTGTCGCAAGAGGCGAAATAGGGAAACTGAAACAAGAGATACGCAGTAGGCAGTAGCGTTTTGGGCTTTTGATAGAATATAATTAATGTATTAATTACTTACATTACAGCCTAATAAAAGACCCATATACAGATATTTGCAATTGTTTTTTTTTTTATATAGGATAATGTGACAAACGAGCACACAGTCCACCTGATGGTAAGTGGTTGCTGTGATCCATAGACATCTACATCTACAGCTGCAGCACGGCTATACTACGTATGAACCACGCTGTTGCCACACTAGGACTATTTGGTCGTCACCTATCTAGCTGCTCGTCACCAGTTCAGTTTTCCCCTGCCCCCTCTTACGACACCTACAGGATAATATGGGATTCTCTTACACAGCCTCTACTCGGCAAATTATATTCGCTATTTATATAATATACTAGCGATCCGCCCCAGCTTTGCACGTATAATTTCTGGATCTCGACCACAGCGCCACCTACTGAGTTCAACTATAGTTAAGAACTATCCAGGTGACCCCATAAGTATCCCATAGAGTCGCCCGGATAGAATTATTAATGTGTAATCAAAGACCAATATTGTTCATTAAATTTTTCGTTCTTGTCGTTAAAAACAATTTTTTTAGGATAGATAATAAATTTAAGTATACTTATTAAATAAAAAAACTTAATGAAAATAAAGAAATACAAAATGAAATTTAATCTGTATTCCCCAGAGTTTTCTGACAAACCATTAAGATGTGTTAAATGTGGGAACGTTTCGGGGTCACTGCGCATCTACTTCAATAAATTGCATCCTGATTTATCTGTGATCTCTTTTCTACCGACGTCAAAAAGGAGACGGTAGTCAATTCGACTGTATGTTTTTTTATGTGTGTTACCTCATAACTTTTTATGGTTTATTTAAAAGCTGGTACTATTCATGTGGTCCCATATAAATTTTATCGAGGTGTGAACAAAAGTTTTTAAGTTATTCCTAATAATTTATATTGAAGTCGGTTGTAAAAAAGTTTAATTTTAAATTATAAGTATTTAAAAAGATCGTTATATGTACTACTACACATAAATAATAATCTAGTAATTTGAAAGCCGGATAATGCAATGTGGCTGCGAATCTCGCATCTGCTTTGATACCCACAAGGGACTAGTATTTATGCTCTTCAAATTAATATTCAAGTTCTAGATATTTGTGCATATTGTACAATTTATTTTAGTAAAATCACTATATCGATCGAGTATAAAATTAGGTATGATATTATAAAAATTGTATTCATTTAATTATATTAATTGAATTATATTGATGATCCTGATAAGGATACTAGGACAAAGTTAATAATTATTTTATTGACATCGGTCCTTAATATGTGTGCGAATTTTCAAGTCAATAGGCCGTCTACAAATTGGTGAATATTACATTAAAAGATTCCGTTACTTTAATATATACACGTGATGCTAATAAAAGCGTGTTTAAAAAGGTCTACGTTTTGGAGAAAAGGGAAAATAGCGATTTTTGTGTAAGAAAAAACGAAACAACACCTTACATATAATTATTGAGAGGATTTTGAAGCCGGAAAGAACACGTTAACCTGACGTGCGTTAGCGAATTTCACACTTCGAAATATTTTAAGGTTCAAAGACAAGTTTCCTCAGGATCAGCATTTAGAATTGTTATCAACTATTCCCATTAGATAAGTAATATAAATATTAATGTGAACTATTGTGTAGTGGCGGTTAAGAATATGCATTACCCTATATCTTCCCGTGGGTGTCGTAAAAGACGACAAAGGGAAACAGGCAGGAGATGGGCAGCAACATCTTCCTGATAACAGCAAAAATACAATAAAAAACTGCGGTTGCCAACCCGCTCGCCAAGCGTGGCAACTATGGCAAATGGGGGGTATTTGCCATAGTCGCCACGCTTGGCAACTATGGCAAACTAAATGGATAAAGTTACTAAGAGACGGCCCCCAGTCCCCGGCGGCCCCGCTATTCCTGGCTACGGTGGCGACCATGGTAACGGCGGGGCAGGGGGTGCTAAGAATCTCCGGTGAAGGTTCGGTTGCCACCTACGACGTACTCGACCTGGCAACATACAACGCACGCACCCTGAGGACTGACGAGAAGATTGTGGAGCTGGAAGAAGAGATTACAAGTTACGCTGGCATATTATAGGATTATCCGAAGTCCGAAGAGAGGGAGAGGAAACGGTAATCCTCGAATCCGGCAACTTGCTTTATTACTGGGAGGGCGACCATCTGTCCCAAGGAGGTGTCGGATTTATCGTCCACAAGTCTCTCGTTAACAACGTTGTAAAGATTGTGAGGGTGTCGACGAGGGTGGCGTACCTTATACTCAGAATCACCAAAGGGTATTCGCTGAAGGTCATACAGGTTTACGCACCAACCTCGGCTCACCCCGATGAGGAGGTGGAGGAAATGTATGAGGATATCTCTAGAGCCATTCATTCCTCCAAAACCCAATATACGGTGTTAATGGGAGACTTCAATGCAAAACTAGGCACAAGAGAGAACGGAGAGCTGAAAGTATGGAAATTTGGAATAGGGCAACGAAACCCAAGGGGCCAGCAGCTGGCCGACTTCATGGAGAAAGACGGACTCTTTATGATGAACTCTTCCTTTCAAAAACGGTCCCACAGGAAGTGGACCTGGTGGAGCCCCGACGGTTCGACAAACAATGAGATTGACTTCATTATGACGACCAGACGACAACTGTTCAGTGATGTCTCAGTGATCGCGAGGGTGAAAACCGGCAGCGATCACCGAATGGTTAGGTTAGGTTAGGAGGTTACACTGAACCTAAACGTTAAGTTGGAGAGGTCTCGTCTAATGAAGTCAACGCTCCGTCCCCCTCGTGCTCTAATCCAAAGTCCCGAAACCTTTCAGCTCGATTTACAAAACCGTTTTCAGTGCCTAGAAGACTGCAATGAAGTGGACTATATGAATGATGAGCTCGTGGAAACTGTCCATGCGGTCGGAGCTAAGTTCTGCCAGACCCGCCGCAGAAGAACACAAAAACTCTCCGATCACACTCTTAATCTCATGGCTGTTAGACGGGAGATGAAGCTACATTCTTCAACAGATTTGCCAGCATACAGGCAACTAAACAGACATATCTCCAAATGCATGCGGCGGGACTTACGCAACTTCAATACTGCTCGTATTGAAGAAGCGATCGAGCGGAACCAAGGCTCCAAAGTCTTTGCCAGAGATCTATCTGCCAGAAAGAGCCAACTGTCAAAGCTGAAGACAGGATGTGGCAGCATCGTTTCCGGGGCACCTGAGATTTTGAGTGAGATTGAAAGGTTCTATGGGCAGCTGTACACGTCATCGTTGAAGCCGCACACAAGTGTGAGTAACGATCCAAGAGCGAGTCTTATCCGACATTATTCCGATGATATCCCGGACGTCAGTCTGAGCGAAATTATAATGGCTCTCCAGCATCTTAAAAACGGCAAGGCCCCAGGCGAAGATGGAATTACAGCGGAGCTTCTGAAAGCGGGTGGAAAACCGGTACTTGAAGTCCTTCAGAAGCTCTTTAATTCCGTCCTCCATGGTGGCATTACACCGGAGGCGTGGAGCAGAATTGCGGTGGTCTTGCTCTTCAAGAAAGGCGACAACGCTCTCTTGAAGAACTACAGACCGATTTCACTTCTGAGCCGCGTCTACGTGTTGTTTTCGAGAGTCATTACGAATCGTCTCGCGCGCAGACTTGACGACTTCCAGCCGCCCGAACAACCCGGTTGCCGAAAAGGCTTTAGCACCATAAGACCACATACATACCCTTCGGCAAATTGTACAATTTGCCACTATGTCTGGCGTATGTGGACTATGAGAAAGCCTTTGATTCCGTCGAAATTTGGGCGGTGCTGCAGTCCCTTCAGCGGTGCCAAGTGGACTGTCGGTATATCGAAGTGCTGAAGTGCTTGTACAGTAGGGCTACGATGGCTATCTGAGTACAGAACCAGAGTACGAAACCTATCCAATTGCAGAGAGGTGTAAGACAGGGTGATGTCATATCCCCGAAACTCTTCACCGCTGTATTGGAAGACGTTTTTAAGCTTCTGGACTGGAAATAATACGGTATCAACATCAATGGCGAGTACATCACTCACCTTCGATTTGCCGACGATATAGTCCTTATGTCAGAATCGCTGGAGGACCTAAGCACTATGCTCAATGACCTCAATAGTGCTTCCCAACGGATAGGTCTTAAGATGAACATGGACAAAACAAAGATCATGTTTAATGTCCATGTCACACCTATGCCGGTAGTTGTTGAGAACACTAAGGTCGAAGTTGTTGACGAGTATGTTTACCTGGGACAAATAGTCCGACTAGGTAAGTCCAACTTCGACCGAGAGGAGTGACCGACATAGCCCAACGGATTAGTAAGCTGAAGTGGCCATGGTCCGGCCATATAGCTCGAAGAACCGACAACCGATGAGGAAGAAAGGTTCTCGAGTGGCAGCCTCGTACCGGCAGGCGAAGTGTTGGCCGTCCCCCAACTAGATGGAGTGACGACCT